CAGCACCATAACAGTCTTCCTCCGGCAGCGCAGGCGTTTGCGGATCTGCTCCGTTTGGAAACCTGGCACACTCTTGAACCAGAGCTCTCTGGAGATGCGCAGATAGCACAGGGCCATGGTAAGCACTGGGCCCACAAACTCCACGGCGAAGATAAACAGGTAATATGAGCGATAATACAGCTGCTGGTCCACCGTCCAGATCTGGGCGCAGAAGGTCTTGCTGCGGTTTGCTCCATTGGGGACTTTGGTTGCGGACGCGAAGTAGGCAGAGGGAATGGAAATGAGCACTGAGATGATCCACACCCCAGTTATGAGACAGTATGCGGTCTGGTGCTTCATTCTGGGCCTCAAGGGATGAACGATGGCCATATACCTAAACACAACAATGACAATTAGTGTTATTCCATTCAATTTCCTTTCTCTATGGGGCAAATTCACTAAAAACCTGCATTTTAAACACTTACAATCCTGTTGAACCAGGTACTAATTAACAGGCTGCACTGGTTTAGTGCTGTGCCATGCACATATACATTCAGTCATAGTCACTGTTTTCAGCACAGTCACGATATGTGAGTTTAGATGTCAGTGGTATATGCCAAGTAGTGGTGGTGGACAGTAACGGAGTATTTTTACTAGTATTTTTTAAAGTTTCTGTACTTTATCAGAGTACTTTATTTTTTGGACATTTTTACTTTTTACTTCACTACATTACAAAGCATAATATCATACTTTTTACTCCAATACATTTCAAAACACGAAGTTGTTTCTAGTTATTTTGAACTTAAAAAATAACCAGCCCCTTTGGAGACGCAAGAGCGTTGTCTGATTCATGAGCTTATTCTTTCCAAAACAACACAAAGTGATCTGGTCAAAATGAGCCAAAATCATTTAGGTTACGTTATGTAATGAAACCCTCGTTTCCTGAAGGAGGGAACAGAGGCGTTATATCGGCACAAACGTTAGGGTTCTCACTTGGGAGCCCCAATCACCTTTGAGCATTACATGAAATGGCCAATGACTGGCGAGTGGAATTTGCATCCCAAGCCACTCCCCATACATACGGGTATATAAGATGGCAGCGCGCATCCACTCATTCAGGTTTGTGCTGAGAAAGCATCCCGTCATTCAGTACAGTTTAAGGTTGTGGCATGAGGGCCGTTACATCTCCGTTCCCTTCTTCAGTCAGTTACATTCACCTGTGTTGACAGTGGGCTGTCAAGGGAAAGTCAATGGGTTTACTAAGGGAAATTGTACCTTGGAAATTACATACAGGACTATCCAAGGGGAATCACATGTATGGGCACCTGATTCATTACAGAGGGTGACAAAGTCATACAACACAAGTACAGAACCTGGCAAGAGACTCTTCCGCTGAGTCTGAGTGCCACAGGTGGCTGAGGGAAATCGACCAGAGTTCACCCTACAGGGGAACTATACAAGAAGAAGATAAAGCACACATATCCACCAACCAGAAGAATGGCGCCGCAAGGGAAACATCGAGCCAATACTGCCGCAAATTAAACCCAACACATGGGAAGAAACATTTTGCAAAAGTATTAGGTGTCACCCAGGCCGGAACTCTGCAGATGTCTGCTAGAGAGGGGGTCATGTGCTAATGCCCAGGAAGAGGCCAAACTCCGATTGGAGTGAGCTCTCACCCTCAAAAGGGGGGTGGAGTGGTGGGAACTTTTGGCACATGACCAGGCCGGAGTCTCAGGAT